ACTGTTGTCTGCATGAAAGTTGTCTCCAATGAAGGAATAGACACCGAGTCCAGTGATGAGGGGCCTGAGAAGTCCATCAACCATGGCTAAAGCTATCAACCCGTTTGGAGTATGTGTGTACAGCTTGACAGGGTTCTTCATGCCGAACGGTCCGCCGTAGAGATCTACAAGTAGTCGATCGGAACTCAGAAGCACTCCAACATTTGCTTTAATGCGCACCAAGGTGTAGACGATGAGTAGAACCGCCCATGGAAATCGTCTCCTTGGAACCACAGCCGTCACAGCCTCCGTCGCCTCCGGTGCGTCCGCTGTGTCGGTGTCCACTGTCTGAGGCTCGGAAATCAGCCTTGGATAGGGGTCATGGACACCGTGAAAACCGGTGGCTCGGCAAAGAAGAACACGGTTTTCCGTCGTTTTTGGGATGGTTTTATCTCATGACCCCAAACCAATGAGGGGTGTGGGAACAAACATGTGTCTTGACTTGAAGAGACCACATGCAACTTCAAAGTCAATGGTTTGTGTGGGAATAATCTCCCAGTCTCTTCCAGTGTGTATTACCTATGAACTGCAAAAACCGTTTCAGTTTCTTCACTTTGTGACCTCATTAGCGTACGTGCAGTTTAAAAGTGTCCGGTCAACGACCAGACCGAAGCAACCCAATGATGCCTGGCAGCAAACCCTCTCGACGCTCAATCTCAACCTCATCTGGCCTGGCCTGCAACCGAACCTCACGCCTAGCAGGAGACACAGACATTGCATTCGCCGCTCTTCAGGTCGTCATCTGGAATTTTCGGAGTGGATGGTTGGATGATGTTTGATGGTATGTATTGTGGCATGCGTGCCGAAAAACCACATCCACCCAACATGTGCAACTTTTTGTAATAAGGTCCTTCTATGTGTGATGCACATGTCGTTCTTTTGGGTCGAAAGCCACCGGAAGCCGGTTGGCCGGCACCTTGAGCCCGACGGCCGAAGCAAGGTGGAGCTGCGAGCTGTGGACGCTGCCTGGAAGTAGGTCTCCATATACGACGCAGCAGTCTAGATTCTTCAATGAAGCATTGGTAATGACGCATTTGAGTGATACTAAACACGCTAAACAGATATCAAGTATAGATTGAAGGTGACTCCTGTAAACATAAGTAGATAAAAGTCCTTCTAGTTTGGCATCAATACGAATGATCATGTAGCGCTTCTTGCGGGTACCCATTTAGTACCTTGAGAGTCCACCAAGAAGCTCCCATGATCCTGCCTCTCCACTGGCAGACCTCCTGTGTGCGCTGCGCGATGTGTGCACTGTGCGCAAAGTGGGAGGAGCGAATCCGTGGGTCTTAAGAGTACGGACCCCTCTTCGGGCCAACTCGTGGCCGGATCACGATCAGGGAACAATGCATTTAACTACAATATAAAACGTATCGCTTTCAGATACCAGTGCCATCAGGTCATCAGGTGTGGCAATTAGATAGAATGTACAGCAGTCACCCATTAGAAGACCAATGCTTTGGGCAAATTCGGACGCTGCTACACAACCCTTGTGCACCTGAATAGTCTTGAATCCTTGTGAACAGTCAAAATGAGACAAGTGTTGTTAAAGTTCTTAATCTGATCATCGGATCATATCGGATCATGCCCAGAATTCAGGACTCCCAAAAGGAGAACGCACCCCACAACCAAACACACTCCCCTGCTGAGGACCACATGGAACCCCAAAATGACTTGGTATTGCTATAGAGGAAAAACCATCTTGCAGGGGACCATTGTGAGGGTCCATGTTGGTTTTCGGGAGTGTCAAGAGTTGCCAGTTCAACCCGTTTGGGATCCGTTTTCGTTACCGTTACCGAACCCCAGGAGATTGGACCCGAACAGACTGGCACCCGACCATAGCCGGCCTGCGGTGTCGAAAGAACACTCCTCACCTGCGGAACGAATAGTTCAAGAGTCCTAAGGGCGGGGGTTCTTCCTCACCCAGACTGCACCAGACTGCACCCAGTGCATGTGACAGATGCAACGCACTGCACCAGCAGCAGAGTGCACCGAATTGATGAGTTCCGGCTTTCCAACTTCCTCGCCCTCGTTTTCGACAGTCTCCACTTTGGCCACCCATACAGTAGGCGTACATCGGCTTCTAAAACGCGTACATCGCCACCACTCCCACACGCTTTGGACACCACCGACGAACGCGCGACACCTTCTTCCGCGCGCGCGGGAAACCGCGACGGTCGTCCTCGATGCCAAAGGTCTTCCAAGCGCTGCGTGTGGCTTTGCCAGGATCGCAGCCCATCTTCCAGGGACCTCCGCCGCCGGCGGGACGGTGCTGCGACGGTGCCAGCGGGACCTCGGAGCCCCCCCCGGCATGGGGGAGGTTCTGCATCTAAGAGAGTCACTGAATGCGGAAGCTTCTGGAACCCAGGAGCAACAAAAGCTTCGGCAATGCCGCGGCTTCTTTCTGAAGTGGGAGTTCCTCCATCTAATATATTGCATGACCATCTGTGACCTCAAGGAGCTACCAAGAGAAACTTCCGGTACCTTCCCTGCTTGGGCTTCAGCTTGCTTCAACCCACCAGCTAAACACCTAGGTCCATTTCGGAGCGATTGGGTTTAGCCCGAACGAGCGATTCGGTGCATGTAGAACCTTCCAGACTATCCCAGTAACCTGGTCGTGGTTAAGTGCTAGTTTCATCCCAGTAGGGACCTATTTATAAACCTCTTTTGGATGGTTACTGGTACCTTCCAGATCCATCAAATCAATTTCCCAAGCGTCTAATTCCATCCAGCTTTGACAAAACCACGACGTGAAAAAAAAATTGCTCACTCTGCTTTGTACGACGATTGTCGTCAAGAAGGGACAGCGGGAAGGACAGCGGGAAGGACAACGGAAGAGAAGATGGTGGCCCCGCACCCGAGGCAGACCTTCCTCTCCCCGTCCCTCGAGGCGTGCTACGCGTCGACGGCAATCCACCTCAACATCTCCTGCATGCCGTCCATCCGCCGGTCCAGGGTCGCTTGAACCTGTGCGGCTTGAGCTAGTATGAACGAATGCTGGGCTTTCCGACATCTTCCATTTCCATCTTTCACATATATCTCCATCCATTCATGATCCACTCTGACTGTGTCAGGAAGATACACCTTGCCGCGACGGGGTGATTTGCCACATCTTTCGCATCATGCCACTTTCGCAGCTTCCTTCCTCCACCTCTCCAAACCGCAACAGCAAAAAACCACGCCTTTGAAACACCAAACGCATCCAAACGCAACAACCAAACCTCCAAACCGCAGACCTCCAATACCAATGCGGTTTGTTCCAAACCTGCAAACTTCGGAGCCCCCAAACGCCACGGCAGCCTCTGGCGCCGTGCTTGGCACCGGGCCGCCAAGCACCGGGCCGACGGCTCCCCGCGGCCTGCGACGGAGGATGGGGCGGAGGCTAAGTGGCTCGGAACATCCCTAGTAGGACTGGAATGGTATGACTTCATAGTTACTTCATAGTAGTTACTCAGATCTTTCATCCAAGGTATATTATATATAATTCTTCCATAATAATAGTTGGATACAGTTGGAATAATAGTAGTTACCTTCATTAATAGGTATGTAGCGGTTCCGTACTATTGCAGTCCCATGGATGGTCTGGTGTTCTAATGATGTTGACAATTTCTGTTTGGGGATCAAAGAAGATCACGCAACGTGTAGATTCTCGACTAGAGTTGGTACCCAAAGCCCTGAGGGTGAAGCACCACAACAATAGTAAACAGGGAGCCGCGCAAGTTCGACTAATTGACGAGCTTCTCTTTGACCACAACCCAACCAAAAGACCCGCCACCCGCACCACCCATCACCCACCCCAACCGCCAACGAGGCCAACGCCGCTTCCACTGGGTCGATTCCCACCCCCCCCGCCTCTCGTCGTGGTCTTCTCGACGGCCAAGACGCCTGGAGAACTGGTACGTTCCGGCTGGCTGGCGGGGCAGGCGGTCATTCAGCTCAGCCGTGCAGGTGAAAGAGAAAAAACCCTAATTGAACATGCTAGAACATGTTGAACCAAGCATGTAACTAACATTTGACAGAAGTTGCAACGGTAGCTAAGCACAAAACCCCGTCTATCTTGCTTGTTTCCCGCTGCTTTGCTAGGACAACAAGAAGTTGATTCGGGAGTGTAAAGCACACAATGATTGAAAGGCATGATGTGTGTTGAAGTGTTGGCTTTCTACCAAAACCTTTCCAAGATAGACTCATTGTGGTAATATCTCTCGTGTCCTCAATTGCTTCCTTCCTTGAAGCTAGAACGAAGTGGAATCCCACAACATGTGCCCGTGGAACATGGCACTCCGTTCATCTCTACTCCACCACGAGCGTGCAGCGTGACTCCGAAGAACTGGGCACCGACCCAATGGGACCCGCAACCCAGCGGGACCCAGCGGGACCCAAACGTGTCAGTGGAAGGTATGAGTGGATCCTGGCACCCACCTCAGTCCCACCTTCAACGAAACGAGGTTCGTACCACTGGAGCCCTATAGGGCTGGGGCTGCCGTTTGACCCAAACCCACCGACCCAGCGCCGGAGTGGGCCTCACATCCTCCTCCAACTGCTCCAAACGCCTGGAGCACTACGGCAGGACGGTCAGTGGACGACGTCGTTTTTGGGCCTGGAACACACAAACCCTATACCAGGGACACAAAGGGCCATGGGGTGGTGGACATAGATATCCCTTAATTCACCTCTTTTCGGAACTAGAATTGGACTTAGGGGGCCCTGGTAGGCGTTAGTTTTTAACTGAATGAGAACAACACACGCACACTTTTGGGATGGATGAGTAAAAGACAACCTACAGGTCCAAGGAAGTCAGAGCATCCACCTGCCCAGTCAACCACCACCTGCCTGTAAGTAAACCCCCCACCCGCTTCGCAGCTGGAATCCGCCACAGAACTCCCTTGGAATCCGCCTCTCCACTCGTGCCATCTGCATCTGAAGCTCTTCTGTCAGTTTCCTGGTGAGAGCTGGATGCTGTACAAGATCGAAGAGGGATGCACGGATGATCGGTGCCCGCGCGAGCGCGTACTCAGGTGCGCGAGTGGGAAAAGGATAGAACTGGTTCCGCAAGTGCAAGCATATACGGCAGAAGCAATCCGCTCCCAAACCCCGATATGGGGTTGCGATCATCTCAGTAGAGTTCTCGGCAGCAGCACGTGTCTACAACAAACATGCTAGATCCAGATGTGCACAAGTGCATCTGATCTCACCAAGCAGCTGTGCTCTAAAGAATCAACGAAGGATCTCCATCAGTGTGAGAACATGCTTTGGCGTCAGTGAAGAACCCCCCCAGACGCCCTTCCTCTGTAGGAGCGCTCAGCGAGTGCAGATGCCCCAAAAATCGGACGTCGGACCGGCCTGTTTGGCCCGGGAGCTATTTGAAGGAACCACCTTTCTTCTCACATCGATTCTCATTGCACAACACCAACGAAATCACAGATTTCGTACATTGAAAAGGCCTTTAAGACATGAGTTCCAGATGGTTCGGAGTTGCAGAATGGATTTTCTACATGTTATTCTCATCTACAGTCTTTGGGTTGGCCATCCCCAAGGTAACACACTTGTGTTCCAGCAAGGTCATGGCATGGCTCTACTATATTTAGTACTTCCAAAAAAACACCTGATATCACTGAAGATCACCGTGATCGAAGGCACTCGGTCTCTTCCAAAGCAAGGTGATGATTAATTAATAGCTAGGATCCAAACATAAATCTGAAAATGACAAATAACAATGACTCGACTTTGAAGAGCATCCAAACAAAATGTCCAGGAAACTCCCTTCCGTCAACCGACACGGTCCATCGGACACTCCCGCAACACCGGACCGGGTGCCGCCTGGTGCTCGGCAGGCTGGGCGCTTCTGGCATGCTCGGCACGCTCCCTGGCGGCGAAGTCCCTACACCGTCGGGGTGAACTCAGTGACGTTCGACGCTCAAGAGGGGTGTGGTGAAGTGAAGCCATGTGTCGTATCTCTTTTTGAACATCTTGGAACGAGGGTGGTGAAGATGGTGTTCAAATTTTAAACCTCCATTGTTAGTTCTCTATATACAAAAAAACATGGATGAAGGTTGTTGCAAGATCGTTTTGCCGTTTTGCTCTTAAGTTCGACAAATAACTGCAGCACCTTGCAACCAAAAACTGCCTGAGGATGGGAGTGGATCGCTAGGGTGATGAATGGCGATGAAGAGTTGATTCAGTGGAAGAACAAACGCTCGTACAACGACATGCCATGTCCTTCTGTCCTTCTGCCAATACAACGACCTGCCATATACAACAAGTATTTTTTTACATCAGTCCTGCAAGCGACGACCAGCCTGTGATTGGTGGCTTCTGAAACCAAATGACTTTGTGTTGTCTGAAACGTCTCAGTTGTCCTCCCCTATGCGTTGGCCTCCTTGGCCAGCATTCCAAAAGCTTCGCGGGTTATAAATGCCCCTGGCCATGCCACAAAGAACAACCCGTGGGCGCCGAAGCTGGCAGAGCAAGTCATTCTTGACCTGAATCGAAATGCCATTTAAGCCTGCATTGCACTGCATGCATTGCACTGCCCTCGGCGAATACCTCGGCGCATTGCGGAACCTGATCTCTGTCGAGCACGAAGCCATCGCTCGAAGTTCCTGTGACGCGCCGTTGGCCTGTCTGACCGTGCTTAGAGTGACCGTTCTTCTGCCCTTTCTGCTGCACTTCTCCATCCAGGTCCGTTCTCAGAGCGATCTTCTAAATGCCTTCTATGACTGGAACCTCTGGAGCTTCTGGAGGCACTGAATCAATGCTATGGGATTCAGGGGGGTGAAACCCTCACACGCGTGGAGGATCAAGTATCGTTTCAACGAACAAAATCAAGAGGATTGCCAAAACATGAATGTCCAAACATTAACATGTCCATGTGGATAGTACCTAGGTTTTGGTCTAAAAATTAACCTGTCCATGTCCCTACACCTCCAGTCGTACCTCCTCAGGTTCGGTATGACTGGACTTCCCAAGTACCTCTAGTCTTGGTCCCACTTCCTCAGCGGCTTCATCGACCGCCGCTGCCGCCTTCCTCGCTGATGGCGGCCTCACCTGGGACGAAGACAGCAACAGGGATTGGCAGCTCGGCCGCTGAGGGGCTCACTGCCTGCCGCGCTCTGTAAGTATCTCGCCTTCCAAAATCACTGGCTATCCCACAAACAACAGGAACTGGCATACGCGTAAGCATACTTATTTAATTTTACCGATGTGAGATGAAGATAGTTGAAGTTGGGAGTTGTTTGTTTTGGGGCGGTCAATTTGTTGAGAGACGAGAGCTCCATAAACAACAAGGAAATCACATATGTGGCATCAAAGTATAAACAACCGATGTTGGCATCAGATTTCAGGCAATGATCAAACTGATGCCTAGGCCCATCGGCTTCATGCTGCTTAACTTGCTCATCCCACAATGGCAGCGCAATACATCCTGTATCACATCAAGACAAGAACAACGAGAACAACCACCACCACCACCACAACAACAACAACAACAACAACAAGCACAAGCACAAGCACAAGTACAAGCACAACGACGAGGACGACCATGATCCCAACTTCCGTGACCCGAGAAGGTGGCCCCCCGTACCAAAACGCCCCAACGGCCGCAACCGTCTCGTCTTCTTCGGTGGCCGACTCTCTTCGGGCGCCAAGGGCATCGGGTCCTCGCCGCCCAGCACCTCGCAGCATCGGAGGAGTCGCGCCGGACGGTGACGGTGAGGAGTGTCGGCGGTGTGCACCGCGGCGGTCGGGGGGCGGTCCATTGTAACATGACCTCTCTCTCTCTCTCTCTGGGACATGACATGAAGAGCGTGTTCTTTTTGGAAGACACACCTGGAGTTGTATTACTGGCAAGAGACACTGTGGGCTCCAATGGTGCGGCATGACATGGGAAAACATGTTGGTGCCTTCGTTGACCCCTTGGGGAACCCCCAATTGATCGGAAATATGAGGGGAATCAGTTGAGAGTTGCAGTAGCTGCTCAGTAGCTATAGATGCCACATGTGTTCCTTCTCCTGGATGAGTGATACGTTCAGCCAGTGAACGAATTTTCTGATAGCAGATGATAGCAGTGTGATGGGTTTTGACTGAACTGAATTCGTTCATCACAGTGGATTCACTTTCCCTGGAGAAAAAGAGGCGTGGCGTTCCACCCTTTTCCTGTTTCAGTTGTCCTTGGAGGTGAACGCCGTGGCGCCACGGCGAACCCACCCGGTCACGGATGGCGCCTCCTTGGAGGGTCGAAGGCGCTGGCCTCGGTGATGTGAGAATGAAAGGAGGGCCCTGCTTCGTGTTCCGTGAGTTGGTGATTGACAGATCTGGAGAATCCTTGTCCTTGTTGATTCGTAACAGGTCGTTTCTATGATATGAATATGACAGTACTTTAGAATATCATCCGGAGTTAAGATGATCTAATAGGTTGGATTGACGGTTGAACAAAGAACACAAGACCTTCAATCACTTGTCTGCATAAAGCGCCATCGTCATCGCAAGCAACTTTCAGGCAGGAGATCATGGACTATGCTTGGTGGTGGCAGCCCACGCGCACCGACTTCGAAGTCATGGTGAGTCAATAGCTGAGTCTTTGCATTGGAACCATGAACAAACACGCCACGAGAACCAGCTAAACTGATGGTGACCATTAGCTGACTTCTGTTGCATTGAGTCTAAAGTTTGGATCTTAAGAACCTGATATGGAGCCACGAGGGCAACACCTATTGAGAATGTTGCCTGCACAGCTGTTGAGGGTATGGGCGGGTACGCCACAAACCTATTGGCACAAGGAACAACAAACCCACAAATTTCTGCAATGCCTGGCCGTGTTTGTTTTGGGTTCGCACACGGCACCTTGACCCGCGCTGCGAATCGACTGACCCGGCACACTTCCAACGGCGCTCGGGTTGACCATGCTACCGATGCCGATGGCCGGAGTGACCAGTTAAGACACAAATTGAGTAACAACCTCTGTGCAATTAATACTTCTTTGGCATACATCCCGGGAGTAACCGGTGTATTTAGCAACATCATGATACAAATGATACTTCTTTGGCTGAAGTGACAACCTGTGTGCAAATACCATCTGATGCCCAGGTTTTGATACAAGGTGTGTATCGAAAAAACACTCTAACCAATCGATGCTCTCTCTCACTTTCCACTATAAACATACATTATGAAACCGTTGATGGATGATGCCAAAGACACCAAACACCAAAAAGAGAAGAACAACAAAGACGTTGGTTGCATGTTCATGTTTTTGTCGCCCAATTTGGCTTGCACCCCCCTCTAATTTTACTCTGCCGATCTGACCGATCCAATTCTCGCCTTCTTCTTTCACACGGTGGAACTGCTGAAGAAGCTTCTCCTGGCCCACTTGGGCGAAGAAAAACACACCAAACACAATAAGGCACAAATAAATTTGGCTTACCCTACTACTCCTGCAATTATAACTAAACTAGCTAACTAACTGACTGACTGACTGACTGCCTAGCTAGCTAACTAACTAACGAACTACAGTAACACAAACACATGATACAAAAAACAAACAAACAACAACCCACACAAAAAAACGTGTTATCATGTGGTATCGAAAACGGCCGCCAAACGGGCATCGTTTCCGCGGCACATCTCCGCCGTCACGGTCCCGCCTCCAAGCGCTGTGCCTTCGTCCGGGCATCGTCCTTCGGTGCCACCGGCACCTCGACTGGGTCGGAACCGCTGTGGCTCCGTTCGCGTGTCGACCGCCAGCTCCGTGAAACGCGCGCGGTTCGACCAGGCGGACAAGGGACGGCCATCTCCTTGCGGAGCTTGGCTTCCAAGATGCTCATCTGCTGACCGATGATCGCTTTCACCTGGCGGCGACCGAGCGGTTTGATCTTGCGCTTTCGACCGGTTTCGACCGGTTTCGACCGACTCCACCGAAGGGCGGGACTCATGGTCCGTCTGGCGCGTCGGTCGCTGCATGGAGGTGATGGAGGTGTTGGTATGGTAGACCTTCATCTAGGGATTCCATTAGGTTTATAGGTGTTAGGGATGAAGGTGTTAGGATTCCATTAGGGATTCCATTATGGATCCTTCATCCCTAACACAAATTGAAGGTGTTAGGGATTCCATTAGGGATATATAGATTTCCAAGGTACACGACCACGCTCCACAAGGAAAGAACCTCAATATAGTGAGTTCACTGAATGAAACTATTTGTAAATTTCTTGGTCAGGAAGAAATGTTGCCTGTTTGAGTAAATTGAGTACTTCTGGTGATGAGTGGTGCTCTTGAGTCTATTTTGCCAGGAAAGGGCAAAGGATGTCAAAGAGATGACGAATTTGTCGGAGTTGCGGCACTTATAATGTGTATCAATTTGAGGTGCAGTGTTTGGCCAAAATGTGGAGATGAAAGACTTCCAGTTGACCGGTTTTCGGTAAGTCTACACTCCAAATATGGCTGGAACGAGCTGAAACTTCTATTCCAAACAGTTGCAAGCTGTCACCACGACAGTTGAATCTGGACGCACCCATAAGCACACCATGCGGTCGACAGACACGGGCTACAATTCTGAAGTGATTCATATGGTCAACAACCTGCTGTGAAACATCGTGATGTGTTCACCAAAAATACTGCTTCTTTTACGCTGTATACCACCTCATCTGTTGATATTCTCCAAAAAGTCTGAGTCAGACTGTTGGCATGCCCTGACTAAAATAATTTGACCTCGAAAAGGCTTAAAGATTGAAATACACTGTCAGCCCACCCAAGCAACTCTCAATGAGTTTGCCATGCCATGGCCCGTGCAATCAACGAAGCAATGAGCTGGGACAGTGCCTTGGGTGTTCCCCATCAGTTGGCAAAATGGTCTTCTTAGTATACGAAACTCACGGGTGTGTTCAGCAAATCCTTGGCTCGGAGTCGAAGTCACTAATGAAAGACTTCCAGCTCCGTTTGTACCTCAAGCCAAACCATGGGAATACAACATGGGAGAGGCCTTGCAGCATGTACAATCCAAGAATTTACCCTGGTGTGCTGCTGAAAACTGAAGTGTTCACCAGTTTCAAGCTGTAAGGGTAACCCGGTCATATTGGCAAAAAACGTCCTCTATGGTGTGTCGTGGTGACCAGTTGAACAGACGCTGAGGACTTGGACGATACTAAGCCATACTATACATGTCACTATTCGGCAATAACTACCATGCTACCACGACCTTGGCCAGTTACTATTAAGCCAATTTGAGCCAACTTGGACTATGCCACCACAACAATGGCCCAAGCTGTGTCAGAATGAATGGCCATCCGCCAGCGTTGCCTTAGCCGGCATGATCGCCCCTCACCCAAGCACCGGCCTTGCTGGAGAGATCGCCTGGTGGCAACAGCGCGGTGGGCCGCGGGGGGCAAGACTTGGGTCAGTAGAGGAGGTGGATTGGCGATGGCCTCCCTAAGAGCGATGGTCCCTGGAAGGTGCCTAGAAGTAGCCAGAAGCTTCCCTGTCGGCCGGGGAGAGAAGGACATCGAAGATGGAGAGACCGACAGCGCGATGCACGAAAAAGAAGAAGCACGAAGAAGGCCGTGCGATAGAGATGGACTGCAGCCAAAAGAAAAAAACATACAGTATGTGGAAGTGTGGATCACATGTGATCTCACTCTATGCTCAAAAAGGGTCACTGATTCATTAAACAAAAAACAACACGGATCTTGATTTGCCCATTGGGAGCCTCAGTGCTTATTGCTTGGAGCTATCCCAGGCACTCCATGGGACTGGCAAATGAATCCATCCATTCCGGTGGTTGAAATGGGGTCAATGAATATGCCGGTCCCATGGAGTGTGTTTGGGCATAAGTCTGATCCCTTTTACGGAACATACAGTATACATCGGGTTTACCCTATGATCTGTAAGAGTGGACGATGATGGTTAGGTTGCAGGCTGACAGTTCAAAAATAGTGATAGTTCTGGTCTACGGCTCCTCTTTACCAGGTCAGTTCGGACAGACCCAAAGTATACACGTCAAAAGGTAGTTCGGACAGACCCCCTGCCATCCCACAGATCTGAAGGTTTGCCGTTTGCCGTCCTGTTTGCCGTACTATACGTACGGTGGGCGGGACCGGTTTGGAACCAAAAGGGGCGGTCTGAAGCACCATCCATGTCATATAGTTCTTGTCGTAAAGCATATGCAGCATATACTTGTTTCAGTCCTTGAGCCATCCGTGTCTATTTGATGGGATCCAGTTCTGGATGATCATGGCGGGTTGATCTCCGCTTGCATCCAAGAAAGTACAGGTGATGCACAGGAAGTACTTACTACCTGGAGTCTACCCCAACAAGAATTGCTTTCCGTTCTTTTTGGGGATCACCAAAACCACGCGACCTGTTTCCCACCCTTCACAGGACCAAGTTTGGTCACATCTGCCCATTCATCGACCATCCGACCCGCCACCTGGAGTCCCAAAGTCGTCAAATGGGTGTACCGTCCGTGCCTGTGTTTTTGGTTCGGGTCATGTCCCATCGACTCGGCCCAGTCCGGCTGGAACCCATCGACCACCCCACGGGCGCCACTCGTTCGAGCGCCTGGCAGCTCGGACAGCGCGTCGTTCGACCGCGGCGGCCGTTCGGCTCGGGCGCGGGGCGTCGGCCTGGGAGACGTGTTGCACGCGGTGTTGGGCGTATGGGGCGTGTGGCGAGTCGCGAAGAAGTGGGGCACATAGGGGGTCAAGAAGGGCATCCCGCATGTATTTTTCTTGAACATGTTTGTTGCTGTGTGTGTATTTGTTTGATTTTGTTTGCTTGGACTGGAGTAGACTCTGAGGGGGTATGATCCACTTGGGAAGGGTGTAGAGCTGTGACAGTCATGCTGCCGGCAAAGGCAAAGGTGAATGAACGCCAAGGTGGAACTTATTTGAGAGCAAGCGAGTGCTGGATGAAGTGTAGACTCAAAGATGCATGAACACATGTTTATGTATATATCTACACTTTGAGTACTTGGATAAAACATGTGCATTCAACACATAGAGGATCATAACATGTCCGTCTACTTTGCATCTCAGTTGTCCGTATAATCCGCCGACCCCTGCCTGGCTGACGCCTAGGCGTGTCGCCGTGGCGCCGCTGCCTCTTTGTGCCTGCATTCTGCCTACCAGCCCGTTTTGGGCAGTCTGCAGAGCAGCACGGCTGCCTGCGGACTGCGGCCTTGGGGGTCAGCCTCTAGAACGTGCCAGGCAACTGTTCTATGGGCTCCCGAAGGCGACGTGCCAGGCAACGCTAGGCAGTTTGGCCCCCCCCGCGTTCCGACCGCCGTTGTGGGTTGAAATAGATGGTGTCGTTTGCCCGCCTGGAAACCCTCCGCTGCGGCTGCCTTCTGCCCATACGCGCACCTCAGCCCGCAACATAGCCCCAAGCCCGCCCAACATCCACTCCCTCAGCCTGCGCCCGCACCCAATCTTCCACCCTCCAGCCCCCTACCTGAACGCCCCTGGCCGGCTGTCGGGCCTTAAATCCGGGCGCCGGCCACGCGCCCGCGCCCTTGCCGGAGACCTTCGGTGGTAACCGAAGGTTATTTAAGGGCTTACGCCCGACAGCCGGCCAGGGGCGTTGAGGTAGGGGGCGGTGGAAGATTGGGCGCGCGCAGGCTGAGGGAGTGGCCGTAGCTGCTGAGGCGCTATGTTGCGCACAGCTTGGGTCTAGCTTGGGCCATCTGGAGCCTTTGTTGCGCGGTCTTGGGGCTATGTTGAGCATAGCTTGCGTTTAGCTTGGGCCATCTTGGGCCCATGTTGGCTCAGCTTGAGCCCATGTTGGCTTAGCTTGGGCCGGCCCATCTTGGCCCCATGTTGGCCCATCTTGGACCCATGTTGGCCCCTTCTTGGGCCTATGTTGGCCCATCTTGGGGCTATGTTGGCCCATCTTGGACCTATGTTGGAGCCATGTTTTCGGCAAAGTTGGCACGCGCTCAAGATGCGACTTTCTCCGCCCCGGACCTCCTCTCCGGACCGGTCCACGGCCCTGCCCCTGGCCGGATTTAAGGGCTTACGCCCAACCCGCCTAGCGGCGTTGAGGTAGGGGGCTGGAGGGTGGAAGATTGGGTGCGGGTGCAGGCTGAGGGAGTGGATGTTGGGCGGGCTTGGGGCTATGTTGCGCAGCTTGGGTCTAGCTTAGGCCATCTGGAGCCTTTGTTGCGCGGTCTTGGGGCTATGTTGAGCATAGCTTGCGTCTAGCTTGGGCCATCTTGGGCCAATGTTGGCTCAGCTTGAGCCCATTTTGGCCTAGCTTGGGCCCATGTTAGCCCAGCATCTGCCCACGATGCAGACAAAGCACCCCAGTGCGGCACGCATTTCCAGCATTATTTGGGCCTATGTTGGACTATGTTGACCCATCGTGAGGAACAAGCGTGGGGAAAAAATGTCAAAAACACTGGGTTTTCTGGGTCCCGCGGCTGGGGGCGGATTTGCTTTCTGCTTCGCAGGAGGAGAATGCCTTACGCAGGACACGGCCCTGACGGGGCTTGTCGCCCCTGGCCGGATATACGCTCGCCGCCTCTCACTGCCGAACCACTGAAGTCCCGTAATTTACGGCCTGCGACGTTCAAAAACATCGTTCTTTACGGTGTTTCGGGCCCTTCGGCTGCCAATAATTTTATCTTGGCGACGTTACAAAACGTGGGTTTTTACGTGGTGTTGGGCTCCAGGGGGGGCCCGGGACGGGAAAATGCATATTTAGAAGATGTTTCAACATAGATGGGTGGCTCAACATAGGGCGAACATAGGCCAACATAGGGTCAACCTGGGGCCAACATAGGGCAAGATAGGGCCAACATGGGCCAACATAGGGCCAAGATAGCGCGAAGAGAAGC